ATTTCAAGAGAGTAAGCTTGAGGTTTGCTATATCATACTGTAGTATTAGGGATGGCCTCGTTGATAACGTGACATATGAGCAGAGATATGAAAGCAGTGAAGGAGTAAGCTTTATGGATATTTGAGCAAAGAATGTTTAGGTAGAAGAGTAAGAATAGAGGCCCTTAGGTGGGAGAGTTCTTGATATATTGAGAAAGAGCAGAGGCCACTGTGGCTGGAGTGGACTGAGCAAGAGGAGAGATGTAAGAGCTGAAATCAGAGAGGTAGGCTTTTGCTGAGTGACATGGAGAGTCACTGGAGGATTTAAATTGAGGAGTGACATTATCTAACTTATGATACTTCGGATCTTTCTGGCTGCTGAGTTTAGCAATGACTGTAGGGGGGCAAATACGACAGCATGTAGACTAGTAGGAGGTTATTGCAGTAATGTAGGGGATATGTGATGGTGGCCTGGACCAGGGAGGTAGCACAGGAGGTGGTGAGAAGTGATAGGATTCTGTATATAATTTGGTGTTAGAGCCAACAAGATTTACTGATGGATTAGGTGTAGAGAAGTAGAGAAGAATAATGATGACTCCAGTGATACTGGCTTGAACAATGGAAAGGATCAGAGACGGAGAACACTGTGGAAGAAGCAGGCTGGGGGTGATGACTGAGGCCTGAAGTTCAGCTTGACAAGTTAGGTTTGAGATGCTTATTAGACATCAAAGCGGAAATGTTAGATATGAGTCTGTAACTCTGGGAAAAGGTGTGAGCTGTATAGATATAAATTTGGAAGTCTTGAGAGTACTGACAGTATTTGAAGTCAGGATACTGGATAAAGGTTACCTAAGGCATACGAATAGAAAGCCTCTAGCAGTTTAGAGGCTTGAGGATGGAGGAGTACCAGTGCAAGTGACTGAGGGATCCACGCCACTGGGAGAGGACTGGGAAGAGAGCGCTGCCCTGGAAGCAGTGGTATGCCGGAAGGGGCTCATACCAGCTTGCAAGAGCCTATTGTAAGGTTTTTAATAAATTTTCAAGCAGCTTTGAAACACAGCCATTTAAAAATTAAATTATATAAATATACATTAAATGAATTACATTAAAAGTAATACTCAAAACTCATCACTTCCTAGTTATGATTTTTTTTTTTTACATTTTGTTACCATGTATGCTTTTATTTACATCTGTTTATCTGTGTGATGGCAAAGCTATGTAATGGTGTACTGCTGCGCATCTCTTTCCAAGTCCACAATCAATGACATCATGCTGGTAGCTTGAAATTGGGCCTGGTGGGAATGTTTACACCTTGGAAATTGAAAATGCCACAGATCAGGGCTTGATTTATTGTTTTGTTAATAATAAAGTGATAAAGAAAATGTTAATGCAAGTGCAAATTAAAAGCATGTTATTTCTCTCATATATGGAATCTAATGAACTAACTAAATAAGTAAAACAGAGACAGACTCATGGAAGGAGAACAGATGACAGCTAGTGGGGGAAGGGCATGTTAGGAAGTAGAGGGATTGAGCAAAAGTTAATAAGGACTCATGGACGTGGACAACAGTGAGATTGTTGGGGGGCGGGGGCAATAAGTGGCATAAACGGTAATGGAAAAAATATAATAAAGATCATATTATTAAAGAATAGTATATCTGTAGCTATTGTGATTAGCAGAGAAATTAAAAAAATTGTTCTTTAGTAATTATATGATTCAGCAAAGAAATCATGTAATTGATGGAGTGAGTGAAGGCTATCATTTAAGCCATCTTTGTTGTTTCATTTTCATCCTACTTATTAATGTAATAGAAAGAAATCAACCAACATTCATGTTGGAACTATTTGCTTATCAGTTACCACCCTAAATTGACTATGATTATAAGAGTTTGGCAAACATTCCACAAAAGTATTCTTGAGAATCAACAAGCTATGTGGAATATACAATTAAAAGTTGCATTATCATTATTTTTGCATTTCATATTACACATTCTTTAGATCAGTAAAATTTATAATAAACTCATATGTATAGATGCACACTTTCTTTTTTTAATCCAGAGAATTAGTTGTTGAACATTTGCATGCATACACTTTTTGGAAGCCTAGTGAAGCAAGAGTTTCAGGAGTGCAGCAGTATCAGCTGCTGCTTATGGCTCAAGTGAGATGACAGAGAGTTGACCACTGGATTTAGTAATACAAAGATGATAGGCATCCTTGACAAGAGCTGTTTTAGTGGAATTACAGAAAAGTCTGAGTAGAATGGTCTCAAGAGAGAATGAAAGGAAAGGAAGTGGATAGAGTATTTCAGGAGTTTTTGCTACAGAGGGGACAAAGAAATGGAGACCATAGTTAGTTGGAGAGGAATGAAAGCTGAAGGGAAGTTTTAAAAATCGCTGATATTACAGTTTAATTGTATGTTGATGAGAATGATTGAATGGAGAAGATAACGACTGACGATGAAGCACTGTCCTTGAGTAGGCAAGAGAGGAGGTTCAGGTGCTCAGGTGAAGTTGGCTTTAGAGGGAAGCACAAATATTTTATCCATAGTAACAGAAGGAAAGGCACAAAATAGGGGTACAGTTACAGGTAAGTCTGTAGATGTATGAGGAACTTGTGGAAGTTCTCTTCTGATTTTCCATTGCATAGGAAGCAAAATCATCAGCTGAGAATGGCTGTCGGGGAGAGGAGTTGGAAGGCTTAGGAGAAAGGAGAGAAGAAATAAAATGCTCAATAAATATGAACTGTTATTGTAATTGGTATTTAGTCTGAAAGGGTTAGATTGGAAGGGGGGATTTTTAAAATTCAAAGACAATTAGTTGTCTTTGTGGTAATGATTGCGGTGATCATTTCAGAATGTATATACATATATTAAAACTTCACATTGTTCACTTTTCAGGGGTGTCCAACCTTTTGGCTTCTCTGGGCCACACTGGAAGAAGAGTTGGGCCACACATTAAATACGTAAACACTAATGGAAACTGATGAACAAAAAAAAGGTTTTAAGTAAATTTACGATTTCGTGTTGGGCTGCATTCATAGCCATCTGGGCTGCATGTGGCCGGCGGGCCATGGGTTGGATACCCCTGCTTGAAATACATACAGTTTTATTTGCCAATCATACCTCAGTAAAGGTGGAAGGAAAAAAAGGACCTCAAAGCAGGGCAATTTTGATGAAGACCCATGATGCGATTCAAAAATATAAGGTAGAGAGAGAAGAGCTCTGGTCAGGTGGAGAGGTGTCAGGAATACCAAGAGAGACATTTAAAGGAAGAGACATTCACTCAAAGTAAAGCAGTTACTGGTGACAGAGACAGGGCAAAGGATGAAGTTGGGAAAACTGATAATAATTCCAGTTGGCTTTTACTCTAGATGATACCCATAAGTAACCATTTTCATATACATGCCTTGTATATTAAAAGTGTGCATATATTAATTCCCCAGTCAGGAACTCCTCAAACAGAGAGAGAACAAAAAATATGTATAAATCATAAAACCAGGAAAATTACTGATGTAATATTTAAGAATCTGGTCATTTTGGCTGTTGCCAATTTCTTCTAAACAGTTTTACAAAACACAAGCTGGTGATAAAAACAGTTGTTCACTGGTTAAGGTGAGTCTTGCCCTACCTCAGAATGCATTTTAGGTCTGAGTAAATCAATTATTGTACTTTATATTCTTTGTGGTACATTGGTATTGTTTAGTTAAAAATATGTGATTCAAGCCCAGGCTCGTGTGGCTCAGGGGGTTGAGTGCCAGCCTGAAGGCTGAGGGGCTACCGGTTTGAGTCCCAGTTGGGTTGTGGGCCAGGCCTCTGGTAGGAGGAGTACAAGAGGCAACCAGTCGATATTTCTCTCACATATCCATGTCTCTCGCACATTGGTTTCTCTCCCCCTCTTTCTCACTCCTTCCCCCTCCCTCTAAAAAAATAAATAAAATCTTTAGAAAGAGTCTGTGACTTGACAGTCTCCAAATAGGTCATGTGGGAACAATAAAGTTGAATCTTCTTGCTTCCAAAAAAAAAAAAAAATTGTCACTACACACAGGCATTGCAACTCTAGTGACTTTATCAAGGATATTTTGTCTTGTAGGGGATAAAGACATATATCCAAGAAGCCAAAATATGGCAGTATGTATTAAGAATGCCTGTAGTATTTGTGTGGGTAAAATGGTTTGGAAGAAGGGTAATAATGATTAATTTTAGCTGTCAGAGATAGCTTTATGCAAAAGAGAGCATTTGAGTCAGTTGCAGATGAATTAGGTTTTCAATCGATTTGCTGACTGCTTTCTATATATTAGACATTATGCTAAGTATTGTGTAATTTAATACTACCACCTGTGAGGGAACTGAAGTTCAGAGAGGTTAAATAACTTGTTAAAGATCACACCCAGCTACTAAGTGGAGTTTAGACTCAGATCTAGTTAACAAAAAACCCTTTCCAATATAACATCCAGATTCTAAAAAGAGATAATGGAATGTAGGAACATAGGCTAATACAGGGAGCAGTAGAAGCAAAGAAAAGTACAGAAGTAGGAGAAAGGAGGGAGGGATGGAAGGAAGGAGGAAGAGAAATCCAATGTGACTTGGGCACTGTGTGTGTGTATAAAAGATGGTGGAACATATAGTGGGAAATATGGCTGAAAATATAGGTAGGATAAAGATCATGGGAAGGAGGCCTTGAAGGTTGAATTAAGGAATTTGGGCATTATCTTGTAGGAAGTCATCAGTTTTTAAGATAATTTTTCTGACATGAGAGACTCACATCTGCTGCCAGCATTGCATTCGGGACCTTTGTTTTGTTTGTTTCTAGTTACAGATTCTTTTGGAAGACACGACTATAGAAATAAAGTAGGTTCTTAAAAGTTAAATGTAATCCTCAATTCTGTGTGGTAGTTTATGGAATTTATGATTATTTTATTAAATTCTTTTGTGCCATGAAAATAGTGCAACTATAGAATCATTTAATGTAAGCTTACTTTTTTTCTAAGACCATAAGATAGAATTTTAAAATCATGCTTTTCAGATACTGACCGAGCTTTATCATTACTGGAAGAATACTGCAAAAAATTAAAGAAACCAGAGGAGCAGCAGTTGAAAAACGCTGTTAAAAAGGTGATGGGCATCTTTAGGAGCACCTTATTCCAAGCTTTGCTAGGTATGTACTAAAAATTGTGTATTATCTTAATGGTAAGAATTGGGCCTAATAATCTGAGCAATGTGATCAAAAGAACCTGATGTTAACCAAATTTAAAAGTGGAAAAATTTTTTTGATAGTAGAAGAAAAGGTTTGGGTTCTTTTTCTTATTTAAAGTTAACCTAAAAAAGAACTGTTAAAGGGTAGAAATAAAGTATAGATTATTAAAAATATAAATATTGAAGGACTGATTTGTATAGGAAGGAAAGTTTACACAGGAAAAAAACCTGAGTTATTTGTAGCGAGAGGAGGAAGTTGCTTAGTACAAAAAACAATGGGTCACATTTGACTCAGAATCAAGTTCTACTTTTACTCATTTCTTAAAACAAAAATTAAAATGTTCTTTTTTATTTTTTGCTTCTCTTATGAAAGTTTATGACCCAAATTCAAACATTTATTAATGAAAATCTCAGTGCTTTGGAATTTTTGTCAATTTGTCATGAACTAACTATATAAAGTTTAACCTTATGTTTATTTTCTAACTTATTAAAGACTGAAGAAAATCAAGGATATGGTTTATTTATCTATGACTTTATACATATGTCTTTTGCATTTATGCAGGTAACTTTTAATTCACTTTAATGATATTTTAAGAGTTAAAATAAACTAACAAAAGATATAAGCAAACACCTTCCCTTAACAAAAAACAACCAACTAATGAAATAAGTTTAAAAAACCCACTTAATTATAGTATGTATTTTACTGGTTTTTAATAACTTAGTCTACTAGATGTTGTTAGTGCATTTTAAGCTCTGGTAGTTATTGAAATGAAAATCTAAAAATGGGAATTATGAGAGTTAATCTTGAAAATATTTTATCTATGTATTTATTATATATGTTTACACTTACTGACAAAAAAGTCCAACTTGTTTTGAATATAATTTAAAAAACCATTAAATTTTGAAAATTTGAAAATCATTCTATTCAATAAAAAATAGAAGAAAAAAGCTTTATAGGATTATTTTGCCTGTGGATTAAGTTCTTGAAAATATTCTCTTGTGGCTAGTAAGAATTAAGGACACAAATAGCTATAATCATCTTAGTTGGTATTAAATAAAAACAAGTCTAAATGGACTCTTGCAGAATTTAAATAAATCCTGTCATTAGAGAATATAGTTGACAACATTTTAAACTACTCATTTCTCAATTAAAAATTAATAGTTTCATACTATTTGATAATTACTAAAGTTGATTAACTGAATGGCAATATCTGTCAATAAATTTATATGATATGTTCACTTAAGATGAGCCAAGTCTTGAGAGTTTCAGTTTTTGAACTTGATTTAGGGCGAGTGTTTTTATCTACTATACTTTGGCAACGTAACCATTCGGCATGGCAACATTAACACATGGGGGATAAAAGGACAAGTGAATGACAAAGCAATGCATTTTGTCATTGTTTCGAGTGAGTGATAAATATATTGACAAAAAGCCTACAGCGTAGTTTGAATGTCTCTAAAAAATGAGAGTCAACAATAATCTGTAAAAAGCTGTTACGTAAGTAATCCTGGTGCCCAGCTTTGAATGGATAGATTTGCTTTGGCTGGTTTTTAAAAGTTATTTTGGGATAAACTAGACCGCAAAAAAAAATGGAGCAACATACAACAAAACATAATTTTCTATTCAATTCTATTTGGGTTGCTAAATACTGATTACAAATTTATTGTTATTGAATGTTTGAGTGGTCTCACTGTGTATTCTCTTTACGGACACAAAAGAAGAAAACCCATGTACCCTTGTGCATCCTGAAGGGGATTAAAGCTTTATAAAAGGATAAGCAGGGAGCCATTGATAAATGGAACACTGTTTGTGGCCTCTAGCTTGTTTTCTGTTTGAACCAACTCCTTTCCCCCTTTTTTTGTTATTGTTCTTGTTACAAGTAAGGGAAGATAGTAGCTTCATCCATTATTCTGATACTTAGATAGCCAGTACATTGAAATAATAACCTGAATGAATCTCCATTAGCTGTAGAAACAGAAGAGAATCATAGTGCATAAAACCCAACACAAATGAACAGTAAAGTGAAATATTGTTATTACAGAATGTGCTGTGACATTTACATGTGACTAGGAAACCAGGACTCTACAGATGAAAAATATCACTTTGAAAATGAATATTATCCCTTTTTTGTGGTACTTCATCACGCTTAAAAAACAACAACAACAACCCAAAGGCTAGTATGTTTTGATGGTATAATCTCTGAGGACAGAGTTCTGTTTATATAACTTTGACTAGCATTATAGTGCATAAAAGGATTTTGTAAATGGAATTCTCTTATAATACATGGAAGGTGATAGCAAAAGAAGTTTTTTTAATTTTTAAAGTATGATTTTATCTGATTATAAAAGTAATATATGCTAATTCTGGAGAATTTTAAAAATAAAGTAAAAGAAGAAAATAAAATTCAGTGGTAAAGTAGATTGCTCTTATAGGAAATAACTGGATATATGATAAACATGGAGAATGATGAACTGTTTAACTTTCTTCCTCTTTGCTTTGAAAGTCCTTGTATTTTTTTTATTTTCCATTTACTAACAATTGACAGTGAAAAAAAGACACTTCAAGGTTTTAAAAGATAGTCATTAGTGTTTATTGGTATATAAAAAAAGAAAAATGCCTGAAACAGCCATGTGCCAGAAGCTGCACACTTACATGCTAGGCTTAGGGTGACATCTTGTGGTCATGCTAAGGAAAAAGTTTTGTCCAGTGGACCATTAGTTCCATGATGATAGCATTAACACCTTACAGATTTTGAATAGAAGTGAATTGAAATTCCACAACATTTTACAAACTAATTTAGGTTTCTTTTATTTAGTATTGCTAAAACACTTTGATTTTCAAGGCACTAAGGTTATTTATTTTCAATTAGATGCAGAAGGAGCAAGATGAACTTTTTAAAGAATTATTTTTATACTTTCAGCTACTTTGAAAATTTAAAATTCACTTTATAGTGTTTGAGGTGCAATATTTTGGAAAGATTTGGATGGTAAAGTGATACTTTCCTTAAAACCCTTCTAGGAGCAGCATCTTAGAAAAGTGCTATTCTGCTTTATGGAGACCTGCATGTCAGATTTTGTGTTAGAGTAGAATAATTTTTATTTCCATGAAGCTTAATATAGAATCCTATGGCTGAGACATTAGATAGACCACAGATTGGGATTTATCATGTTCTGTCGAAGCCTACTATCATGTCCCTTCTTGCTAGTAGCTTTAAGCAGCCCTTTTATTATGTCTCTCAGTGTTTTGTTTATATTACTATAAAACACTTATTACATTGCCCTTTGATAAACTGAATATAATCCTGCCTCCTCAGTAGACTGTGAGTACCTGGACAGTTTAAATTGTATCTAATTAACATTTGTACCACCAGTATGTGGACCTTTAATAATAATGGGTTGTCAATAAATTTTGTTTATTCACTTACTCAACAATTATATTTAAAAGACCTGTTATCTTGTGGTAGGCAATAGACATACAATAGTAAATTATAAAGAAAGGGTAGTCCTTGCCCACATGGGTAAGTGAGAGCAATCAAATGGGGGGAAGAGACATTAGGTATGTAATTAGATAATTTATTTAAAGATAATGGTGATGAGTACTACAAAAACAATCTGTATTAGAGTTTTTTAAAATTGCATTTTAGTTTGAATAAAATAAAACTGCTACATATTTTCTCAGTAATTTTAATGTTTTCATTTCAAAATAACATCTATTTGAACACATCATGGATATTTTGGTCTCAATTATTCATCATAATGTATAATTTTTGCCAGCTGATCATAGGAAAGTCAAAGGACTTTTTATAGATCATGCGGAGTGAAGACCCACGCAGTCATGTGAATCTGAAACAATGTGGTTTTAACCCTCCAAAGCAGAGGTTCCCACGGTGCAGTCCTTGGAGCTGCAGCAGCAGCCTCACCGGGAGTGTGGTTAGCACTGTGAATTCTTGGACCTTGCCCCAGAGACACTGAATCAGAATCTCTGCAAGGAGGGGTCAGCAAATAGCGTTTTAATAAGGCTTCCGGGTGATTCTGAAGCATGGTAAAGTTTGAGAACATGTATTCTAAGTGGTTATGTAGTTGGTCACTCAAAGGAAGGAATGCAGTAGGCAAATATTATCAATAAACGTGGGAAAATAGGACAATAGCATTTCCTCATTCTTGCATTTTTTTTTAAAGATCTGATTTGATCTTTAGCAAATATAAATGAACCATTATCTTTCTGGGATATATCTTGAGTACTTTGAGATTCCCTAAAGTAATGAATATTATTATGAAATCTAATATTTAAAGAACATACAAGAGTGTATCTGAAACATTTAAGTGATTTTTTTTCCTTTGGATATCTAATGATAGTTTCTACCTATCCAATAAAACAAATAAATTACTACATGTCATGGACCTTCAAATAAGTCTTGACTGGTAAAAGCAGTGAATATTAAATTCTTATATAATAGTATGTTCCTACTTGTTTACGATATCCATTTAAACAAAAGAGTGTTGGCTTTGTAGTTATTGCAATTGAGTAATAATAATGAAGTATTTACAAAGTGTTTACCTATTTACATGGATATATACAGATGGATTTTTTTTTAATTTAATCTCCACTGTACTTTTTTCCATTACAATTTAGTCCCCTTATACCCTCTCCCCAGCAATCACCACACTGTTGTCCATGTCTCTGAGTCCTTTTTCCTTTTTTGCTCCATTCCTCCACCTTCTAATCTCCTCTATGCCACTAGCTGTAATCAGTTCTCTATCCATTAGTCTGTCTCTGTTTTGCTTGTTAGTTCAGTTTGTTCATTAGATTCCACATAGGAGTGAAATCACATGGTATTTGTCTTTCTCTGACTGGCTTATTTCACTTAGCATAATGTTCTCCAGGTCCATCCATACTGTTGCAAAGGGTAAAATTTTCTTCTTTTTTATTGCAGAGTAGTATTTCATTGTGTAAATGTCCCA